TCCTCCCAGCAGCAGGCCCCCTCGTTCTGCAGGATAGCGGAGGTGGCTGTAGGGCATTTCAGCACCGGGCAACGGACAGCACCCGCGCCGGAAGGAAGGGTGGGAGGCGGGAGGAGGAGTCAGCTTCCGGGGCTCGCTGGGCCGCGCTGTCACTGCCCCGCCCGGCCTCCTCCGAACACCTCGGCCGCTGCCCGGGCTCCGTGCCAGGACTGGCGGGGTGGGTTAGTATGGAGGACGGGAGAGGAAAGCTAGCATTGAGAGGGAGGAGCAGGAGACCCAAGGGGCGGGACTTGGTAGAGCCCACGGACCCACTCCCTCCTGGGGTACGTCCCCCGAGTGAAACTCCGTTCCCGTACTCCCTCCTCCGCCAGGTCTCCACCTGGTGTAGTCGTGGCACGACGAGCGTCAAGTGCCCCACTGCGCAGGCGCGGAAGTAATTCTCACCCTCCTCCTACCTTAACCCATCTATTGGCTGCTCTGGCCCCGAACTAACAAACCCAGCATCCAATCCGAGAGCGCCTCGGATTGCTCCGCCTATCCCCCCTCCCGGAAGTTGATTACTGCCGAATCTAATTCGGGGAGGCCGCGCCAGCAACCAATTGGGAGAGAGGAGGGGTGAGCTAGCGCCGCCGACAAGCCAATGGCAGGCGACGGAGGATAACGCTGAGGACATGGCGGCTGTGGTCGAAGAGCTCGCGGACGTGTCGGGCTGCTCCATAACCCGGGTCGGTGCCCAAGAAGCTGAGCAGCTGCCTTATTAGTATTCGTACCCACGAGGCGGCGCAGCGGGCCCTCGGGGAGCGCCAGCTTCGCGGCCATGGCTTATCACTCGGGCTACGGAGCCCACGGTGCGTGGGGCGAGGGGCGGGCGGGACGCGCGGCCGACCGGCCGGAGAAGGGTCGGCGGCGCTGCCCGCTCACCCTGAGGGAGAGGGGCAGCCGTGACCGCTCCCCAGGGCGGCGGGTGTCTTTCGGGTTTCTGCCCTGCGTGACTCCACAACGCGTCCTGGACTTCGCCCCCTCGGCCCAACCCTGAGATCGGGCGGTGACAGCATAGCTGGGATTCCCATGCCAGACCCGGGCACGAACGGGGTCTGCCTTCAGAACTTCCTTAACCTGTCATAACCCTGGTAGGGGCCCTCACCACAGCCCAGGGCCTTTGGGTACCCAGCTGTCGCCTTTCCCATCCTCGTTCATGCGGGATGCCCTCCCAGTTAGTTATCTTCACCTAGGAAACTTCTACTCACTCTTCCAAGGCTCCGTTCAGAGATCACTTCCCTCGACAGGGCCCCCAGAAACCCCCAGGGGGGCAGCCAGTTCCAGGCGCTGCCTCAGCTCTTTCTTTGCCGACATTTAGCACCTCTGGAAAAGGATCCCTCATCAAAGTTCTTTCTGGGTTACCTACCCCTATCCAGCCCGGGTTTCACTAACTGATTGGTGGCCCCAGGACCCATACAAGGGCTGCCCAGCCTGGGGAAAGGGGTGGTGGTTTGGGCTCATGTTTGATATTCCTGTCACCTACTCTAGTACCTACAAACCCACAGGCTCCAAGCACAGGGCCCGGGCAGCTCCAGATCCCCCTCCCCTCTTCGATGACACAAGTGGTGCTTACTCCAGCCAGCCAGGGGGATACCCAGCCCCAGGAGCCGATGTGGCCTTCAGTGTCAACCACTTGCTTGGGGACCCAGTGGCCAGCGTGGCTATGGCCTATGGCAGCTCCATCGCATCCCACGGGAAGGACATGGTGCACAAGGAGGTGTGGCCCACCCCCAGGGCAAGGGTGGCAAGATTTCTGGCCAGGGATGGGGCATCACGGGATCCCACCTAATTCTCACAGCAGCCCTCAGGGAAGGAGCACACAGAGGAGCACCCTGAGGTTTGGTGTGCAGCTTGTCCACAGCCTCCTCTCTCCTCTCCCAGCTGCACCGTTTTGTGTCTATGAACAAACTCAAGTATTTTTTTGCTGTGGACACGGCCTATGTGGCCAAGAAGCTGGGGCTACTGGTCTTCCCCTACACACACCAGGTGAGCTGGCGGGGCCCTGTGTGCCTCCCTCGTCCCATCCCAGAGTTTGGACCCCAGACCTCAACCCCCTTCTTTCTTTTCATTGTCTCTTTTTCTCCTGACCTGGCTGCTGCCACCGCCAGAACTGGGAGGTACAGCCCAGCCGCGATGTGCCTGTGCCGCCGCGGCAAGATCTCAACGCCCCTGACCTCTATATCCCCAGTGAGTCTTTGACCTGGGCTGTGGGGCGGGGGGGACTTGTGCCTGGAGGTACCAACGAGGAGAGAGAGGCTCGTGCATTGATTGAGCATCTGCCCTTGGTGCTTTTGTGTGTGCTGGTTGCTAGACACCCAGTAGACGGAGCAGGGGGACCGGTAAGGAGCTTCCTGGGTGGGCCCTCAGGGTACTCCCTTTGAGATCTTCTTGCCTCTTAACTGGGACCATGTCCTTCCCCTGGAGCCCAGGGTTTAGACCTGGTCCTGCAACTTCCGGTAATGGGACCTCAGGCTGGCTACTTTTACTCTTGTGTAAACCAGGAATGACAACAGTCTCTACCATAAAGGATCGCTGTGGAGATTCAGTGAGGTGATGTGCACCCAGCAGGAAGCACGCTGTAAATAATAGTTACTGCCAGAGCGATTACTCGTCCCCCGAGTCCTGCGCCGACATTTCCTCCTCTGAGGAAGTGGTCGCTCCCTTCTGCGTTCCCGTAACTGCCCATCCACATGGCATGGGGTCGGCTGCCGTCCTTGGAGTGCATCTCACTCCTCTCTGTCCTGGGGCCTGCGCAAGGCGAAGCCCACGGTGGACACCCTGGAGGAGGGGCGAGTGTGCCCGGGCGGCCCTCAGACGGGTTGCCAGGGCAGCCAGTCAGCCCACTTGCTCCGGGAGGGCCACCGGTTCTGTCCTTCATTACGTTTGCTCTCAGAGCCACCTTGTAAAGCAGGAACTGCCGTCCCCATTTTAGGTGTCGAAGCCAAGGCTCAGAGAGACGACTGTCTTTGAAGGCACATAGCTTATGTGTAGGTGGTAGAGCTGGTTTCCTGACCAGACCCCATGCTCTCTGGTGGGCACATCCGTTCTGGTGCGTCAAGGGGGCAGAGAACAGGGCCGAGGAGGTAAAGTTGGTGTGAAAGCCCAGCTCCCCGTGGCTCTGAGCTTTTGTGTAAACAGCAGAGGTAAACCAGGAGCCCTCTCCGTTGGTGGGATGGCCAGCGCCCAAGCCAGCGCCCGTGGCCAGACTGCAAATTACTGGCTGAGGTGACGTCATCCCCATGGGCCGGACTTCCGGGGGAGCCTGGGTTGTCTTGAAGCCTGTATTTTAGTCCTGTAGTGTTGTGGGAGGTCAGTTCGGCCCCTGCCTGTTGGTCTAGGATTAGCAATAGCCTTGGCCCCTGATATGTTGTGAGCCACAGCAGGAAAATTTGGTGTGTCCTAGCACAGGGACAGGGAAGGAGGTGGCTCGGTGGTCCCGGGGGTCAGGTAGCATTTCACGGGGAGAGAGGGCTGAGCAGGGACAGGCATCCCAAGCAGGGTATTAGGAGCTGACTGGGGAGGTTGGCATGTGGAGATATGCAGGGAAGGAAGTATGGGGAGAAGGTAGGGAGTGTAAATGGCCTCAAATACCTAGCCAGGGGGCTCTGATTGAGGAAACCAGGCTGATGGCATCTTTCTGGTTCTTGGCAGCAATGGCCTTCATCACCTATGTGCTGTTGGCTGGGATGGCACTGGGCATTCAGAAAAGGTTAGTATCAACGCCCTCCCCCATTCCCGCCAGCTCCCCCTCCTGACTGCTCTCCTCACCTCCCTAGGGGACCTGTGGCAGGTCCCAAGCCCAGGCCATGTCCTCAGTCTCCCACCTGCCACAGGATGGCTGGTTTCTGAATGCTCCCCCTCCCCCTGTGGCCATAGGTTCTCCCCAGAGGTGCTGGGCCTGTGTGCAAGCACAGCGCTGGTGTGGGTCGTGATGGAGGTGCTGGCCCTGCTCCTGGGCGCCTATCTGGCCACCGTGCGCAGTGACCTGAGCATCTTCCACCTGCTAGCCTACAGCGGCTACAAATATGTGGGGTGAGTACCGATGGGCCAGGCCAGAGGCAGGCCTGGGAGAGGGGCCTGCCGCCATGGGTTCCTAGCCGGTGTAGCTGTGGTCTTGAATTATGACCCTGGGCACCCCTCTGCCCCTCTCAGGGCCCTAGCACTTCTCTGTTAGAGGAACCGGCTGTTCTTAGCATTCTCCTCAGGAACGTGTACTGTTGTTCAGGTCAGGAATGTGTGGAGAGTCATTCTGGGAACACAGGGGAGAAGGGCCTTGTGCTGGGTTAGTAAAGGGGGTCTCAGATCCACGTCCTAGGACTGAGTCCTAGGTCTTCCAGATTCATTTTGAGTCTAGGACTCTGTGGAGACAGATTGGACATAAAGGGCCCCAGTGGTGGTGGGTGGGGCCTAGGCTGGGTGGTGGGGCCAGTTTGAGGCCCGGACCCTTGGGAGATCACCAGCCTTCTCTTTCTGCGCTCCCCCTCACCCCCACCTGCACCACACCCCCTGCAGGATGATCCTCAGCGTGCTCACAGGGCTGCTCTTCGGCAGTGATGGCTACTACGTGGCGCTGGCCTGGACTTCGTCTTCGCTCATGTACTTCATTGTGAGTCGGGCTGCCCCTTGTGCCTCTCCCCCTGGGGTAGGAGCTGGGGATGAGCCTCTCCCTCCCGGCCCAGCTCCAGCTCTGTCCTTTCTTCCAGGTGCGCTCTTTGCGAACAGCAGCCCTGGGCCCTGACAACATGGGGGGCCCAGCTCCCCGGCAGCGTCTCCAGCTCTACCTGACCCTGGGAGCTGCAGCCTTCCAGCCCCTCATCATATACTGGCTGACCTTCCACCTGGTCCGGTGACCCCTGACCCCCACTGGCACTGATTTTGCCATACATTGAAGATTTGATTTCCTTGATTGTATTTGACCCTTGTTCCTGGGGCGTGGGGTGGGGGTCTCTCCATTGCCCAGGGTTTACCAGGCTCAGGGGACCCAGGGGAGGGCTTCCTGGAGTTGGTGGCCTTGATACTGCTTTGAAAGGCAGAGGGAGGGGTTTCAGCAGGAATAAATGGCTGTTTCGTTGTGGCCAGGAAAGCGAGGATAGAGGGGAGCAGCTGCGGAGGAGACCTCAGAGGCCTCTGATCCATCTGAGGGGTTTCCCTAGGGGGTTCCATGGGCCGGTGGTTTGAGCCTAGCTGTACTGGGGATTTAGCTGAGGGCTGCCCCCTACAGAGTCCCTCTGCCCCCATGTCCTCTTCAAGCCTTTCAGGAGCAGAACTGGGGCCCACGTATTTGCAGTAGTTTATTCATATTTTGTCACAAATGGCCGGGGAGGGGGTGCCGGACTCCTCCAGGCAACATAGAAAATAGGTCCAAGAGACAGGACAGGCTGGGATTGGGGCAAGGGGGAATGGGGGAGAGGGGGAGGTCTGGAGAGAGAGCCTGGGGGAGGGGAGAGGGCAGACTAGGGGTGGGGCTGCCCCCCTGCTGAGCCTGCTCATTCCCGGTGCGGGTACCCCCCCACCTGCAGGGGGAGCCTCGGGGTGGGGGTGGAGGGGGGCGGCCCAGAACTTCCAGGGTCACGCCCTGCCCCTTGGCAGGGTCCATGTCCCCCCCCCCCCCCCCGCCAAGTGGACAAGGCCGGAGGTTCCGCCCCTTCCAAGACTGACTGCCATGCCTACAGGCTGGCCGAGGAGCCCCTGCCCCTATTTAGAGCTCTGCCCAGCCCTGGTCCAAGGGGAGGGGGCTCTGAAGGCGGGAGGTCCCCGCAGCAGCAGTGTGGAGGGGTGGAGAGGAGGCTGGGGGCACCAGTGCCCCCTCCCTCCCCAGGGCTGAGGCCTCTGCGGCCGAGGGGCAGGGCTGGGGGTGCACAGGCGTCCGGTCCATTCTGGGCTTGCTCCCTGGCCGGCTTCCCCCTTAGAAACTCACCAACGTATAAACCATACTGTGGGAAGATGAGGCAGTGAGCCGAGTCCTGAATAGGCCCAGCTACTGGTCACCCACCCTGTCATACCCTGGGTTGCCCTCGTCCTTAGGGGGAAAAGGCAGGCACGTGGGGCCCAACCATTCCTGGAATTGGAGGCATGGTACCTGGAACATCCCTTCCCTGACTTCTGACCGCCATGGGCAGGGCCTCACCTGTACAAGTAATAGAAGAAGGAGAGCAGGTAGAAGGCGAGTTTGCACCAGGACTCCTTCTGGCAGTAGTTGAGGATGTCAGCATTCATGATGGAGACCGCATCATACATGACCTCAGAGCCATCCGCCGGGCGATGGAAGTACCTGGGGTGAGGGAGGGGCCTGAGTGCCCACGTCAAAGCTCCCACCCCCATCTCGCCCCTGCTCTTCCGTCTCACTCCCCCCAAGGCAGCTTCCAGAGGTGGTAGAAGAGGGGGATGCTGAGGCCCTCACCTCCAGAGGTGGTAGAAGAGGAGGGGGATGTTGAGGCCCAGGGTCACCCACTCGGCTGCACACAGAAACATCAGACAGAAGAGGCCGTGGATGGAGTATTCTGGGACCACCAGCTGGGGAAGGGAGGGTGAGAGGTCAGCTGCCTGGTGCCAGGACAGACCCCAGCTTCAAGGGCACAGAGGGGAGCTGGGATTTGGGAGGTGCCCCCCACTGTGACCTCTGAGGACTAAAGGGGCCGCTAGCCTCCCACTCCCTCCCCCGGTGGCAGACCAGATGAAGCAGGTCCCAGAGGGGCAAGGCCCCGCTCCGGGTCACACACACGAGGGCTGAGCTGGGCTAGAAGCCTCCTGCTACTGGCCCTGACACTGACCTTCCTCAGGAGGCAGCAGATGCGTTCGATGTTTTTTAAACGCTCGCGCTGTAGGGGGAGGAAAAGGTCTCCATGGGGGAGGCGGAGGAGCGGGCATTGGGGGCGCCCCCGCCACCCTCCCTACGTCTCCCGCGGACCTGCGCGTGGCCGCCAGGGGGCGCCAGAGCAGACTCTGCGGCAGGGAAGCAGCCGCGCCGTCCCCATGGCAACCGTCACCATGGAAGGACCTTCACCCGCGTCTCCACGGCAACGGCCCAGAGCCTGGCAACGGCCGCCCCGCCAGGAGGAACCCGAGCCCTGAGCCCGCGCCAGGTGTTTGCTGGGGGCGGGGACAGACAGGAAGGGGCACCGTCGCCAGTCCCACCACACACCCCCCTTCTTCCCGTCCCCCACCCCCCTTCGCCTGCGACAGATGGAAGGACAGACGGACGGACACACCTCGGCACAGCACATGTATCACTTACTGCCCGCGCTGGGTTCCCCTGGTCGATGGGGTTCTTGAAGTCGGTCCGCAGCTCGTCAAAGGCTATGATCTGGGGGAGGGGCGTGTGCCCGTCAGGGTTGGGGCAGCAGCTAATGGCCCCCCACCCATCCTTCTGTGAGAGAGGAATTCATACATGGGTTCTGGGCCAGATGGAGCTTGCTGCAAAGGTGGAGAAACTGAGGTTGAAGGAGGGGCGGGGCCTGGCCCAAGGTCACACAATAGTGTGGATTGGAATCCTAGTGTGCTAATGTCCAAGTCAAGCCATGTTCACGACACTTCCATCCAAAACATCCCAAGAAATGGTGTCTTTTTTCTGCCCTTTGCTGACTGCTGGGGTCTCGCCTGGGTGGGCTCCCTTGCTTGGGAGAGCTGTGAAGTATATTCCAGGGTGATCAGGGCTATTGGGGTGCCTGGTCCAGCATTGGAGGTGTGGCGGGGGCAGAGTTCAGGCTGGACTCTGAGTGGGTGTTTGGTGAACAAATGGGGGAAGGGCAGTCCAAGCAGCAGGAACAGTAGGTACAAAGGCAGAAGGTTGAAAGAACAAGGAACATTCAGGAAGCTGAGGGTTCCATGGGGTCAGAGTGAAAGTATAAGGTGAGTGGGAAGGAAGAAGGGAATGTGAAAGATGGGCTGGAGATGCTGTGAACCCGGACCAGATGTTTGGACTTTAACCCAAAAGTAATGGGGAGCCATTGAGGGGTATAAAGCAGCAGGGTGGGACAGTCAGGCTAATGCTTTAGGATGGATGGAGAAGGAAGTACACATTGGCTAACAGTCCCAGCCAAGACATGTATGATGTTTACCCTATGCCAGCAGGCTTTATGTTTACTAAATCATTTAATGCTTGCAACAACCTGATGACGTAGGGACTGGTATTATCATATCCGTCTTGCAGATAAGGAAACTGAGACAGTCTAAGTCACTTGTCCAAGGCCACACAGTGAGTCAGTGGTAAGCCAGGATTCTAACCCAGTTAGACTCCAGCGTTAAAATTCTTAACCACTTTATCATAGGCAGGACAGACCAGTGAGGAAATGGGGGAAGGGGGGGGTGCTCGTCGATTGGCGTGATCAGCGTGAGGACAGCAGCAGTGAGAATGGAGAGGTGTGGAGGGATTCCAGAGCTATTCAGAAACCAGACTCCAGTGGGCTTGAAGAAGAGTGGAGGCACAGGGGCCCAAGTTGCCTTTGGGTGTTGGGGCATTCTGGTAGATGGCAGTGTCCTCATTGGGATGGAGAACTCTTGGGAGGTACAGGTGTTTGAAAGGATGATAAGACAGACCTGGGTGGGGGGCAGTGGGAGCTGGCATGATAGGAGGTCTGGAAGAATAGCCTTCTGAGGTCCCCTCCCCTCAGCACCAGCTGGAGGGGAAGGCACAGGGCCCACCACCCCCAAGCATCCCGGACCCCAGACGGCTTGGAGGGAGAGAACATGGGCTTCCTGGAGGGAGCCGGGGCCATCTGGAGCAGCGCCCCCACCCCCATGGACTCTGGGCAGCCACCTGCCTGCCAGGCACAGCAACAGGGTCCAGCAGGGAGTGGAAGGGTGCCGTCTGTCTGCCCCAGAGCTGGCACCACCAGCAGGCAGCGGGTGTGGTGCCTCCCACCCCCCAGGCTGCCTGGCGCTGACTCAGCCCCCTGGAACAAACAATTCCCCACGATGACAGCTGACACGCGTCACTCACCACAAGGGTTGCCTGGCGACCAGTAGGGACTGGGCTCAGGGTCTGGGGTGGGATCTGGGGTCCTGCCCTGGAAGATTCTGGTTCTTACCAATTTGGATGAGGACCACACCTCCTATGCCCATCCCACCCCCCTTAGTAGGCGGTGCTCTGGGCACTCTGATGTATATACAACAAACCCACTTTATCCACAAGGAAACAGACTCAGCATGAGTGACTTGCTATGATCACCGAACTAAATAGCTGAGTGAACACCATGCTTGACACATAATAGGTGCTCAATAAATATTTTGTTGGGCCCTTTCCCCCAACCTAGGAGCCTCACAAGGGCAAAGCCTGAGTCTTATTCATCCTTGACTCTCCCACAGCTGCCCAGAGCCCGGTTCTTAGGAAGCATCGACACTGGTATGTTGGATTGAGGACTGCTCTGAGTAGCCACCAAGGACAGGGGACCCCCAGAGGGCCTGTGGGAGGTCTCTGGGTGGGGAGAGGCCTGGAATCAAGGCTTCTTGATTTCCAGGAAACTTTCTCCCAGGAACTGGTCAGGTCTGTGTTCCCAGCCTGTGACCCTCAATTTCTTCGGATCTTTAGGACCCCAGCTCTCTTGCCCCCAGCCCACAGGATTGTCCACTACCCTGGGATGAGATAGGAGGCTCAGAGAGATCAAGACAGATTGGGGGGTGGGTATGGAGGCAGAGAAAGAGAAAAAGGCAAAGGGGGAGAAAAGAAAAAGCAATTAAGAGACCCACAGAGAGAGAGAGAGAGAGGGAGAGGCAAAACCAGGGAGAGCGCTGGAGATGGGAGGGGGGGATGTGTTGGAAGGTGCCTGTAGGGGTTCACTCCTTACACAGGAGGGGTGCAGTGAGAGTCCATGGAACCATGATGTCGAGGAGACAGGCAGCAGTGGGGCTAGGGGGATGGTGAAGGGAGAGATTGGTCAAGAGCCAGGGAGGATCATGGGGTGGGCAGCAGGTCCCAGGAAAAGAGAGCAAGTGGGGAGACCAGGAAATAAGCAGGTGAGGTAATGAGGAAGCGAGAGGAAGGAAAGAACGGGTTATAGGGAGAGAGACTGGAGAGAGGTACAGGAACCCCCCTAGAGGGGATGAAGATCAGGAAGGTGTGTCCTGGAGCAGAGGATGCCGAAATGGACAGACCAGGGCCGACCAAGATGGGCAGTCTTCATTGAGGGGATCAGGATGGGGGCCAAAACCTCAGGGGACAGAGGTGGAGGGAGGGCAGTCAAGGGGGGGGCCAAGGGCCCCAAACAATGAGCTGGAGGCTGAGTGATAATAGTTCTTGGTGAAAGGAAGGGAGCCAGGCAGAGGGGGGCACTGAGGAGAGGACCCCAGAGAGAATGAGGGAGAGGGACTCTCTCTAAGGGGAGGCGATTAGGATAAAGGATGAGAAATGGACACTCTGAAAGAGCAGGTGTGAAGCCAGGCCAGAGTGAGAAACAGACCAAAGGGGACACAAGACAAAGGGGGAAGTGGGAAGGAAGAGGAGGGAAAATGGGAAGTGGGAAGGAAACCTGATGAGGGGAAGCCCAGAAAGGAGGGGGCAGGGAAGCCCAAGGTGAGCTGGTGGTGGGGACTAGGTCTCTGGTCTGCTTAGAGCCAGTCACTGCTGGGTCAGGGAGGTGAGTGAGAGGGAAAGGGTTAATGGGCTCTGCGATCCGTGGGTCCTGTAAACAGATGCAGTTGCCATGGCAACCGGCTCCATCACTCCGGCTGGAAAAACCCACAAAGGGGGGGGGGGGCAAGCAGACAGACAAACTGCCGGACAGACAAACGGGGGCGACTGATGGGGGGGGTAGGAGGAGAAAAAGGAGCAAGAATCCCAGAATCCTGCCCCACACCCCAAGGCAGCATGGGGCAGGGGCAGGGGGTCAGAGACCAACTGACATACCCACAGACAGGCGGGGGCGGCGGAGAAAAGGGGCCCCGGGAAGGAAGGCGACAACGGGAGGGGGTGTTCATGGGGGCGAACAGAAGCTGACCGAAGGGGGATAGCGGAGAGGAGGTTCCAAGTTTCCCCCGGACCCCGAGCCCATCTGCTCGGCCCCCTCCCGCTCTGTGTGCCCCCGGCCCCCCACCCCCCACCCCGCCCCCAGCCCCAGCCCGGCCTTACGTGCCAGATGACAAAGAAGATGAGGGAGGCGCACAGCACCAGGGTGAGCATGTAGCAGAACGCGGCGAAGGTGAACGCCATGGCCCCCGCACCGGGCGGCGGCCCGGGGGGCGCCAGCGCGGGGCCCGGGCGCAAGGGGACGCCCCCCGGTCCGCGTTTAGGGCCGGCCGGGCATGGCCCGCAGGCCTCGGGGGACGCGGGCGGCGCGGCCGGGACCGGGGCCGCGGGGCCGTGGGGCGCGCGGGGCGCGGGCCGGTGGGCTCGGGGGGCGCGTCCGCTGCCGGCTGCCCGGGCCGCGATCGCTCATCCTGCGATCCCTCGCCCGCGGCTCCCTCGCTCTCCAGCCCGCGAAGCCGGCGGGGCGGAGCCGGGGGCGGGGCCGCGGTGCGAACGGCCTCGGGCGGGGCCGGGTCTCCGTGCGCCCCTCCGCATGCACCGCCCGGCCCGGGCACCACCCCCGCCCCAACCTCAGGGACACGTAGGCATGGACGCACATCCCTGGCAGGCGCCCGCCTCCACCCCCCGCGTCACACGAGTTCGGTCCACTCGGAGGAGCGCACACACACACCCCTACCCTCACATACTGTATTTTGCACAATGGCCTGGGAGGCCAGGCTGAGGTCCTAAGTGGGAGGAACTTGGCACTGTCCGAAGGGGGCAGGGACACCTGGCTTGAACCCGGAGCATAGGTGGGAGAGGGGGCAGAAGGGGATGCGGGCCAGGCATGATGGGTATGTCTGCAGCCCGACCTCCCAGGCCGAATGGATGTGCGCCTGTGTGGGTGTTGGCCGCGGCTCACCAGGTACTCGCTGATGGCCGCCCGCTCCCCAGCTGCCGGAACCGTGCTGGGCCCCGTGGGGACACCCCACAGAAGCAAAAGCAGGCAGCACTCCTGGCTTTAGGAAGTGGGTCAAGGACTTTCAACAGCAACCCTAGGACACACAGCCCAAGCAAGGACCCCTGTACAGCCAGCCAAGCCCAGGGCCCCAGTTCCATTTCCCACCCCAAGACAGCTCCCACCACAGACCACACTCAACCACCGCAACTTCCTTGCAAAAACCCTCGGCTCACCCGAGGGCCAGTGGAAATTTATTTTTTTGTCCTTTCTGTCTTTCCCCAAGTGGCTTTTCCTTGCAAAATGCCTGACATGACACCAGAGTGGGGAAACTGGGAGTGGGGGCACCCCAGAGACTTAAATACAAGCTGGAGGGCAGGGCACAGGTGGGACAGGCGAGAGACAGCACAAGGTACATGGCTTTTCAGGTAGAGACCAAGGTTTGTTTTTTCTGCAGGAAGAAGCTGTGCCAGAGGGCAGGGGGCTAGGATCCTGGGTGGGAGGGGGTGAGGGGAGAGGCCCCAGACCCTGGGTTTGCACCCACATTCCCCGGAGGAGTAGTGGTGACAGGGTATGAGGACCTGCCCTCATAGGCTCCAAAGAACAGAAGGGGGAGAACAAGCCAGATGTGCTGCCTCAGGGAAAGGGAAGAGGTGCTGGCAGAGTGAGGGTTAAGGCTGGTGCCTGGCCTCTGGCACGGTGGGCCTTCCGCCTCTGCCTGCCATGGGGACAAAGGGGCACGGTGGGCAGGCAGCACATGGGCCTGGCTCTGGCAGGGCAGGGGGTGGCAAGAGCAGGCTCCCTCTGGGCTCAAGACACAGGCCCAGCATGGCTGCCCGCCCACCTGCTCTAGATGTGCTCAGACCCCACCGCAGCTGGACGGCTGGAGCTGTGAGTATGGAAAGGGCGGGGAAGAGAGGCAGGGAGGAGAGGCAACGGTGGGCTGCTGGGCCCCTATGGCCCCCATGCCCTTCCTGAGGTCCAGCCCAGGGCCCTGGATTCTGGGTCCTGGATCCCCTGGTCCCTTCCTGGCCCCCGGCGCTGACTGCAGCCAGGGACTGTAGAGGCCAGGGAGGCTCCCAGCTCTTGGGGAAGGGAAGTGGGGGGAGAAGGTAAAGGGGTAAGGAAAGAAACCCACTGCAGCATACATGGGGGGCAAGGAAGGGAAACAAGAGGAGCCCTCATCCCAAGGAAAGGTGTGTGGGAGGGTAGCTTTTAAAGTTACCTAGAGGCAGCAGCAGAGCAAGCCCACATCCCCACCCCAGCCAAAGGTCCTGGGTGTCCTCCCTTGGGGGCCGTGACAAAACCAGGGCTCAGGGCAGCAGGCAGATGGGCCAGAGGGAGATGGGGAGCCCAGGACACCCCAAAGCCACAGACTCAAATGCCCCAGGAGAGGGAGGCACCTCCTGTCCCCTCCAGGGGCATCATCTGGAGAAGGTGCCCCCTCCTGTCCCACCCCACGTGCCCCTCCTAGCAACAGCCGCCACCAGCTGGCTTCACAGGGGTGCTGTCGATCTTGAGGTTGGGCCGCTCACCCCCTGAGGCTGCCCCAGGCCCCATCCGCTTTTTGATCTCAGCAGCCATGGTCATGAATGCCTGCTCGACATTGGTAGCGTTCTTGGCACTCGTCTCCAGGAAGGGGATACCCAGAGAATCTGCAAACTCCTGACAAGGGAAGAAGAGAGAAGAGGAGGGAAAGGAGGGGTGAGGGGCAGCAGAGCCCAGCCCACCCTGGGTGGCCCGACCCAGGCCCCACCCACCTTGGCTGTGGTGTTATCCACCACTTTCTTGGTGGTGAGGTCGCTCTTGTTGCCCACCAGGAGCTTATTGACATTCTCACTGGCATAGCGGTCGATCTCCTGTAGCCACTGCTTCACGTTGGCATAGGATTCCTAAAGGAGCCAGAATCAAAAGTTATTTTGCTCCCAAACGCCCACCCCTACTCAAGGCCAGGAGAACAGGGGCTTTTGAAGGGGGTTTCCCTGGGCTCCCGAGAGAGACAGGAGCCCTGAGCTCAGGAACCCAGAGGAAGCTCTCTCTCCTCCAGGCTTAGATCTCCTCCCTGACCCACTCCATCGGACACCCTCAAAGCCAAACCTGGCACAGCACCAGCTGTCCGCCAACAGCCCTAATACCTGGACAGCTTAGGCCTAAGGGCCAGCCAGCTCTGCTTCCTGCAGCTAGTCTCCCCAAGACACAGAAAAGGCCAAAAACATGTGGGGAGCAAATGACAACAGGAGAGAGACCAGAGAGGAGACAGAAATGGAGGGGAACAAGTTAGCAAGAATCACAAAGTTCCCACAGTGGCCTTAAGATCCCTGAAAGGTAGGAAGTCTTTCAGCCCAATGGTAGGTGGAGGGTCCTCACAGAGGAGATCCTGGCCTATGAGGGAGACGTGTATCCTGGGAACAGAGCCAGACATTCGTCCTGCTTCTGGCACTAAGAGCCTCCTTGCTCAGACCGGCTATCCCAACAGCTGGTCACCCCCTACCCCCTACCCCTGGCTCGTAAACAAAGACAGAACTTTTAGTAACATGGCTGGGCTAGAGCCACACTTTCCCTTCTGAGGAATCAGAGGTGTGTGGTGATATCCCACTGGGTTCAAATGTACACCTGATGCCATGTCCCAGGCTGGGCCCTGTGCTGGGCCCTGTGGACAAAGAAGGGACCAATACCTGGGTCCTGCCCTAAGGCACTCAAGGGACGGTGGAGGACTAGACCAGGACACACACACAATGGCGAAACAGGGTGATGAGTGCTGCCGGAGCTCCAGGACCGCCTCTGCCCGGGGAGACTACGGCTGACCTACGTCTGAAGGGACGAACTGGCCTTGTGTGGGAGCAAGTGGAAGGATGGGAAAGGTGCAAGGCGAGGAGATGACCTACACCAGGTCAAGCTTCGGGACGGGTACGGTGCCTCTGGGGAGCAAGGAGAAGCGGAAGGCTGCTGAGACACAGGCCCTGAGCACAGAAGGAGGGGGAAGGAGGCAGGCCAGAGGATGGAAGGTCTTAGCCTGGCTAAACTGGACAACCAGGAGCCCATGAAAGGTTTCCTTAGGAAGGGAGCAGCAGAAGCACACCTGTGTTCTGGGAAGACAGTCCGGACAGGAGTGCAGAGGCCAGATCAGACTGGCAAGAAGATGGCGACCAACTGGGAGGTGGCTGAAATAATCTAGGGAAGATGTGCCCTGAGCCAGGGAGTGAGGCAAGGAAGAGCACAGGATTTAGAATCAGACCATTTTGGGTAAGCCCCAGCTCTGCCATTTACTGTGTGACCCTAGAATTGTCACCTGACCTCTCTGAGCTTCAGCTTCCTCATTTTGATAAAACAGCAGCTCCCAGTCGGGCTGTTGTACGCCAGAGATAATGGAACACAGGCCTGTCTTATAACAAGAACTTAATTAGCAGGAGCTGCTGTCATCCTCATCACTGCTATTGTTACAAGGGAACGGACTTGAAAGAGAGGTGGGGGGGGAGGAACAGAGGGGAGAAGGAGGGGAGGGAAGAGTTTTCTGGTCAGGCCAACAGGAACTCTGTTACAAAGATGGGGATGCAGGAGCCAGTTTAGGGAGAGAGGGTGAGGACAGTGCTGGACATGCTGAGTTCTGAAGATGATCTGGAGCTCAGCAGAGGTTGGATAGGGGCAGGGAAGGGTAAGTTCAGAAGCCAACACTAGCCTTGCCCCTCCTAGCTATGAGACCATGGGCAAGTTACCTAACACCTCCCTAAGCATATTTCATCTGGAAAACAGGGACCCCACACTTATTTCACATGAAGATTAGAATTACTACACAAAGTGCCAGCAGAGTAGGGGCGACTGGGTGGCTCAGTCGTTAAGCGTCTGCCTTCGGCTCGGGTCATGATCCCAGGGTCCTGGGATCGAGTCCCACATCAGGCTCCCTGCTCGGTGGGAAGCCTGCTTCTCCCTCTCCCACTCCCCCTGCTTGTGTTCCCTCTCTCGCTTTCTGTCAAATAAATAAATAAAATCTTAAAAAAAAAAAAGTGCCAGCAAAGTAGAACAGAGAGAATACCCACAGTGATAACTGTATACACAGGAATCATAGAGCATAAGACAGAAGCCAAACTACAAAGTGACCAGACCCGTGCAGGGAGAGTCAGGAAGCACAGGACTGGGTGCGGGGGGGGGGGGGGGGGTTGGAGGAAAGGCAGGAAGTGTGGTGGTGATGGTACAGGGCAAACCAGTAAAAAGTCACTGAAAAGAGAAGCTAATGCAGCAAGAGGCAGGAGAGCTGGAGATAGTAAACTTCCCAAGGAGAGGGAGAAGGAAGGTAAAAGCCATGAGAGGCCAATCAGAGCAAGAACTGAAATGAGGTCATGGAACTTGGCAGCTAGAGGTCCTTGATGACCTCTGAGTAGAGCACAGCCCACACACAGCTTGTTGTCCAGAAGACATCATGAGTTCCTGGTGAGCCCAAGGGCCCAGCTGCCCCTCGGAGCAGGAACTCCTCCAGGCGCAGGGCTGATGTAAGCATTTCCATGTCCCCAGGGCCTGGTCCCCACTAAGCAACAAGGTTTAGTAGAAAGAATAAAGGAGGTAGAATCAGTACCCCCAGGTTTTCTGTTGCTGCCACTTAACTGCACAGCCCCAAGCAAGTCTCCTCACCACTCCGACCCATTTCCTCGTCTGTCAAATGGGAACCTAATACAGACTTCCTTAGAGCTCTAAGAGGCCGTGACAAGTTCTATACACCGTAAGGTACGGTGGGACTGCGTCAGCCTGTTAATAGCAGCACCACTGCTAGTGACACCCGACTAATGGGGCCACAGCAGACACAGGGCTCCGACTCTGCTCACCATGCGCTCAGAGCGCAGGGCTCCCTCACCTCCTTGTCTAAAGCCCTCCAATCGCTTCTCCACAGTGTCTTCACACAGGAAGCCATAGGCCCAGCACAGCAACCGATTAGCTGACTAAACCCCTATGAAACATAGGTGCCTAGAAAGTCTCGAACAAGGTGGCAAGTTTAGCTAGGAGGTGTGAGGCCTGTTTCTGCCAACGCCCTGCAGCGGGGCCTCAGAGGATGCACTTCTGCAGCTGTTTCCCTCCTTGTGAAATGAGTCCAAGTACAGTCTCCCTTCCGAGCATCATCCGGAA